GTCAATCATGTAACTAATCAGGTCCTCAGTCATAAGGGGTAGGACCTCCATACAAAGGGAAAATAAGTTAGCTCCATCTCTGCTGCTCTTCCATTAGCAGGTAAAGACATTTTTTTAGCCAGGTACATTTACATTGAAGCAGACTTCCTACTGAAGTAGGAATGATTGCTTATGCTTGTTGGATTAGATTCAAATTCTCACTCAGGCATGAAACCCTCAGCCTCACAGGCTTGTGTGACAAGAATGTTGGAAAATGAAGAACCACATACATTGCCTTGAGTTCCTGGAGGAAAGAGAAGGTATACATGAAACAGTGTTGGTTTTACTCGATGAGGGTTTTTAAAAATTCCATTATATTAAATTATTATTGTTAATCCCTTTAAACACTAACATTGAGAGGCGTCCAAACAGCAGGCTTTAGGACAACATTTTTGTTGAAGTCTAAAGGTACATAGACAGAACGAGAAATTAAATCTTTTATTTGATGTGTCACCTATTTTTCTACAAACTTTTGTTATCATTTTTGCTGTTATTCTAGGACACCATTGCTGGTTGCATATGCATTTTATGAACTTGAACTCTGTGGAATAGAAGTCAGGACCGTTAAAAATGCATGCTCATTGAAGTAGCCTATACTGTTGCATACAAGCTAAGCCTAGATTCTAAGGAGCAAGTCAAATTATTTATTTCCTATGCAAAAGAATTAATTTTTTATGTGCTGGTAAAAGACTCGTCATTATAGCAACTATTAACATTCTTTTTCTCTCTCCAAACCAGCATGAATGCTAACAGCATCCTCGGAGAGAAAAAACTGTCACTATTTATCCTTCTTGACCTCAGTGTACCTGTACTATATCAGGAAACAACTAGTTTATCTATAACAATTACCTAGTATCCAAGTTTAAGTAGAGAAGTTATGAAAGCTTTACTGTCATCCAGTTTTCTCTATATATCCACATTCTCAGTGGTTTGTTTGCTTTTTTAAAAGGATACATAACGAGGCTAGAACATTTCTACCACTCTAGCAGATAGAGTTTCAAAAAACGGCTTCTCTATTCCAAGCTGTAATTGCTATAATGATATGGTTGGGAATGTTAAAATAAGGGTTTGTGGTCACTAAGAAGCTATGCCAAAACAAAAATGAAAACCTCCATCATTTCAAGGAAAAAAAAAATAACAACGGAATATACAGTTTTTATTGTGAGAAAAACAAAACAGAAACTGCCTGAGCCATTTGGTCTATTACTGCTTCCCTAGCTAATTGGTGTTTTTGTTAAGTGCAAGTCTGTCAAATATATGAATATTTTATTCTACGCGTTTAACATTTCCGAGGCTGCTGAATAATGCACATTCGTTTGGGAAATACATTTTTTTCCAGAGTAGGCCGTGGCTTTTCATGTGTTCCTTGTGCTGCGGCGGCTGGAAATTTATGCCTCAGCTGCAGGAGTTAAAAAAGGAGAAATAATTTTAATCATTGGTTACAAATTATCAACATTCAAATCAAACCTAACAAAAGAGCTTTTTTATTAGTTATGTATCAAACGGACTGGTCAGTTTCAAAATATTCAAAGTGCACCCGATCAATTAAAAGCTAGCTAGATTTAAAGATGAGATCCTAAGAGAAATGGGTCCATGAGAAAAAAATGAGAATGAAGCAGCCAACTTTTAAATACCCCAGAACTTTAATACTGAATAAAAACAGAACACCAAATTAAACGAACAAAATAACCCTCCTGGAAATATTTAGTTAATTTAAATAATACAAGAGAGGGGCATAGTAAAATAACAGGGAAGCAGGCCTGAAATCCTATCCTGGCCAGAATGTTCCTCTTTTTGGACTCTTGGATGATGATTCCTGCTCCCATTCACCATCCTCAATTAAAGGTCAGTCACAATGCCAGAAAAGGGTTACCAGTCCAGAGTTGTTTTTTTAGTTTTTGTCTATCCCCTTACTACATTATCAGCAGATCAGGAACTGGATGACAGAGAAACAACTGATGTAATTCCTGGCATCAGACTCCCAAACTGAGACATGCTTTTTCTTTGCCCGCCCTCCCTCCTTTTAACTTGGCCAAAGCTGTAGATTCTGAATGGCAGGCAACAAAGTAAAAATACAAAATAAAAACAAAAAGGCTAAATAACTATTAATAGTTTCTACAATTAATAGAAAAGAGACACCTACATTTCAGATCACTGGTTGTGGGGAAGAATAGCATTCTCCTACTATAGCTCTTACAAACAGTTACAAATTTCCACTTTATTCTGCATTGGTCAGACCTTCCTCAAATGCTAGGGCCAGTTATGGATACTACATTTTAAGAAAGATTAAGAGAAACTGGAACATGTGCAGAGAAACTGGAACATGTGCAGTGAAACTGGAACATGTGCAGTGAAAGGAAACAAGGATGACTGCAGCCTGGAAAATGAACACAGGCTGAGGGAACTGGAATGTTTAGTCTTGAGAACAGATGACTAAGGGAGGGATATGACAGGGCAGCGCTCTTCAAGGATCTGGAGATGTTACATAGAAAGGCAGGATCTATTCTGTACCATTCCAGAGTACAGGACATGGAATAATGTTCTTAAATTACAGGAAGGTGAATTCTGGTGGAATGTCAGAAAAACCTCGCTAATAATAATTGGACAGTGGAACTAATTACCAAGGGACATGGTAAATCCTGTACTGGACAGGCATCTGTTAGGGAAGTTTTAATTTGGGTATCTATACTGAGCACAGATTTGATTTGATGGCTTAAGTACCCCCTTCCAATTATATTACTCTATACATCACTGTATGAGATGTTTAGAACCCCTCCAGGCTGCTATCCTGAACTTCAGCTCCACATCTGGAGGTCACAAGATTGGGGAAGGCTGGTTTAGAAGGTTTGAGATACTCAGGATATCTTGGGCTGAGAGCTACATTTGGATGATATGCCAGGAATTGCACTTTGCACAATAGCCAAAGATAGGAAAAAAGAGTTGGAAAGCACAAATTTAAAATATGCAATAAACTAACTAGTTGTGCAACTTTGCTTAGGCAGCAGTCTGTCCCCAAACGTTGGCAGCAAATTCAATACAATGCCAAAATTCAACAAGATGCAGGAGGCTCCGGTGATCACATCAAGGTCATGGGTTAATAAAGCCTGTCCTAAACACTGTGCACATACTATACAGTATACATTTCATTTGTTCAACTGCAAAATTGTTTGATGGCAGTGTATTAGCTATCTCAGGTCTAACTAGCAAAACGAAGCCTTAGAATAGACCCTACATCTTTAAACTGGGGGGAGGGGGGTTCTTAACCTGAATTTACCATTAGGGCATATACACTTCACTGTAAAGAGATGAAATAAGCAGCAGACAGATGTTATGCCACTGTCTTCCTGCTAACTCTGTTCTGATTGTGCACTTTTAAAGAAGCCAGCACCACTTGACAAAAGGAACGTTTAAAAACTAATGAAAATTAATTTTCATTAATTGCAATTTAAAAAATTGTACCTTTCACCCCATTCTGATGCCTACCCAGATGAGCTTCAGAATTCTTTGTGGGGGAGGGTAACTAGAAATGTGTTTACAAAATACAAACATACCTCACATTTCCCACAGTGAGACAAAATGGCCATGGATTTCAGTATTATAGGTATGTATTTATTGCATTTATATCCTACTTTTTCTCCTGTTACTTGAAACAGTGTACGTGTTCTTCTTCATACTATATTCTCAGAACATCCCTATGAATAAGTTTAAGAGCTGGAAACTAGTTCAAGCTCATTTATGAAATTTTATGACTCACATTTGAACCCTGATCTCTCCAATATGTTTCAATGAGTATTATACTATATAGCAGGGATTCCCAAATTTAGTGGCATTCTACTGCCTTTTTATTTTTTGGAAACTGTCATACATCTCATTTAAGCCTACCTCCTTTAACAAAAATGTCAATATATAGTTCAGTTTTTAAAGAAACACAAACAGTTGATATACATTTTTGTTCTTAAGTAAAAATAAGCAATAACAACTTTCTGCTAACAAAAAATAATTAAAGAATAATTCAATTGAAAATTAATAGAAATAAAACAAATCTGCCTTCCTGCTTCCTGTCAGCTCATCCATTCCTTACCTTCCAGCCACATATCCACCGATCTTCAATGTGTTTCCATCCTTCCTATCAGACTGACCTCTTCCCACTGATTTTCCCAGTCCACCAGAACTCCATTTGAAAATTACTGTATATTTTTATATTGATAATTTTTCTAAAAATTTCACATCTCTGCACCCCCACTGGAATTTCTTCAGGTTCCCTGGGCTATACCTCCCCAGTGTGCTATACAAAAAGGACAGCTTCTATGCATAGCATATCTGTAGGCAAAGTAAGCAGAGTGACCATTCACAGTAGTAAGAGGTGATAACAGAATCACCCAGTTAGAGCCAGTATCCTGACTGCATATCTTATAAACATTTAAATCTAGATTATATCAATGACAAACTATTTCTCTTATTTACCATAAGAAGTACATTGGCCTCTCCCAAGATGATTCTGTTCTTACCATCAATTCATATTTTGAATGGTCACTAATATAATTAATTAAAAAATAGGTCACTGACTGTATTTTTCATATGTCATGGACGGTTTGTCCAACTATTTTGCCCTCTTCCATATCACATTTATTTTACATGTTAGTTGAGGATCTGTCAACTGAGGACAAAGTATCTAATGAAGCAACAAGGCCAGCAAACTTAACTTCCTAATAGATCTGTTAGTTAGGGTTTAAGATGCCATAAAACGCATTTTTGCTCTTGTTACCATAGACTAATATATGCATCTACTTCTGGACATTGTCATTATCAATTCAAATGAGAAATCTTGAATGGAATGTTGCTCTTTGCTCTATACTTACTTTCTGAAGGGTATCTGTTAGTAAGATACTCATGCTCTGTACTTTTATGATAGGAGCAGAGCTGCAAAACAGAAATAGAAAAGTTTTTGATATTACCAATTAAATCCCCCTCTCCAAATTTATGATTAAATCAGATGACATTGTGTATCTGGGCCCTTGTACATTCAATTTTTATTCTTTTTACATAATAGTTGGTCTTCCCCATGCCATAGTCCTATGATTACGCTTTAACATGATGTGTAAACCAGTCACTGTAAGGAAACCATACAGCATAAATGAGGAATTTATTATATTGGGTAAAACATATATAAATTCATTACAACATTTGCAGTGAAAATCCTCTATGGATAACTAACCTATCTGTCAAAGTCAATGACTAGTACAATAAGGTTGTTGATAAAAGCTATTGCTGCAGAAAAAACAGTATTTTGATTTTAAAAATGCAGGAATCACTGAATGGACTCAGGAAAATATTCCCCATTCCCCAATGACAATTATGATGTAAATCGGTCTGAGGGGCTGGGGGGTGGAGATTGATAAAGTTTTTCAGCAAGTATGCTTTGTGCCCACAGGTAAGACACAACCAATTACACATTTCTGCTACAAATGTGTAAGCCTAACACACTGCTCTTATTCCCCAGCCTTCCCTTCTTCTACAGCAACTGGCTCTTATTTAACTAGGGATAAAAGAGGTTAAGTGCAACGCCAGCATTGTTGATTCAGTCCTTGTCTTAGGCATGTAAACAGAAAAATGGCTGAGATTTTCTGGATTATTAGGATAAAAAACATAATCACCCCTCAGTTATGACCAGTAAGCAGCTATGAAACCAAAATTAGGAGGTACAATTGAACCAGTGACACAACACATTTTAAAATGTTTTCTACTGTAATAGCCACTACTCAAAGAACTTTATCTATCTGTCTTGCTTGTTAGTGGAAAGGGAAGTCAGTAATTACAGCTTAGCTTAGTTCCAGGAAAAGGGTTTGTAAGATGAAAGAAAAAACTACAATTGATATTTCTGTGTTTGAGATTTTGTAAAAAAAAAAAAAAAAAGGTTCCAGAAAAAAAAATAATTAAAAAATCCTCAGTACTGTTATATAATGCACACCTCCTCAGCTCTTATTCAAGCCTTATTTCAAGTAATAGAATGAGTGCATTGTGAATTTTATCACAAGTAGTATATATGCCTCTATAATAAAACACCAACTAAGGGACAAATGTATTTTCCAATGGCGGGAGAATTTTAAACAGCAGTGGTAAAGACCATCATCCTAATGTTTAAGATTTAGCTAGTTTCAAAATGTTGTAATGTCCTGGAACAGATACAAACACTCTAGGTGCTGAAAGGATGAGACAGGTAACAATGAAAAGATTTCAGTGCATATTCTTGAGGAAGTGAGCAGTAAATGCCAGAAACAATCTGTGGTAATGTAGCCATTTAAACGTCATATCTCTGCATCTACTGGCTGAGCAGCTATGCAAAGCCATTCCAAGAACTGAAGTCCTGAATTTTGAACAGTTAAAAAGAAAGCTATCCACACACAATTTCCTAGTCCTGATGTTCCAATAGAAGAAAATATATCCGGAAGAGAATATATCCACAAAATATATAACTCCACAAGTGAATATATGTAGCTCGGAGTTGAACAGTGGAGTCCTGGGTGCTCTCTGAGCTTGGTTGTTTGCTTGCAGACGTTTCATTACCCAACTAGGTGACATGATACTACCTAGTTGGGTAATGAAATGTCTGCAAGCAAACAACCAAGCTCAGAGAGCACCCAGGACCCCACTCTATTTGAAGTTGCTTTCTCTCCAGATTGTTTCACATAATCTTGCATTTTGTTGCTGAAGTACTATTTACAATAAACAACCTTCTGTTATGCCCTAATTCATCTACTGTCCAAACAGAAATAAAATAAGAAAAACATGAGCAGGTCATATACCTAGTCTTCTCTTTTCCAGGGAATTTAGAACTTCGTTCAACTGGTGCATTTTCTAGCTTCTTAGAAACTCTCATGCCTCCAGCTTTGACTGTTGAAGAAAGCGGGAATAGAGTATTTTTCCAATATTATGCAAAAAGAGAATAATAATACATTTAATATGCATTCAAAAGTGCTAAAAAGAAACAAGTCTAGGTTTGTATGTCATATGCTAAACTAAGTTTGTTTTAATCAAGGTTCAATTCACACAACATGCTAAGCCACAAACAAGTATGCAAGAGCTGGCTGGTACAGAGATATTTGTAAACACACAAACAGGTCAACCACATTTTGGGCTTGATGTGTTACATGAATGTTGCCATAGGCTCAATTAACACATGCTAAGCCAGAGGCTCTCAAACTGTGGATCACAGTCCAAAGAGTTGGGAGCAACGGGGGAGGGGTCATAGTCACACATTTTTTACAATCTGATCAGGCTCATATATGGAAAGTTTGAGCACTGTCACAGCTCACTCCTTGCTTTGCCTGTGCTAGCCCACAAAGTTTGAAAATTCTTGTGACAGAGTAAAATTAATTATTCAAAGTGATATATTTATTGCAGACAGTCCCCTGCTTACCAACAGGTTAGGTTCCAAGAGGCTGTTCATAAGTCTGTTTTGTTTGTAAGTCCAACCAAGTAAAAAGTAAAATAAAGAGAAGGCAGGGCAGCAGTGTGGGCAGAGGAGCCCTATCTTCTGCTGCCAGATGAGGCAGGAGAGGGGACGGTAGTGGAGGAGAGGGGAGCAAGGGACGAGTGGGTAGGGTACAGCGTGCTCCATTGCCAGGTGAGGCAGGAAACCTCCACCCCCTCTCCTGCCTCACCTGGCAATGGAATGCGCCGCATAAACTAAGCTTTTCTGGGAACTCCAACTCCAATGCAAACAGAAGGCGGGAGGTGTGAAAGGGTTAGTTTGTGGTGCGCCTCAAACTAACCCTTTCCCGCCTTCTCCTGACTTCCGGATCTGACTTCCAGTTCCAACTTCCGATCCCATCTTGTTTGTATCAGTGAAAGTTCATAACATGAAAGTTAGCAAGTAGGGGACTGTCTGTATACTTATTTCTTGCCCAACCCTAATCGCACCAAAAGTATTAGATCAGTGTTTCTCAACCTTAGCAACTTTAAGACGGGTGGACTTCAACTCCCAGAATTCCCCAGCCAGCCATGCT